ACGGCGCCTACAGTCCATTCAAAGCCTACGCTCAGAGCAAACTGGCGAACATACTGTTCACTCGGGAATTGGCCAAACGGTTGGGCACTAAGAGCAATGTCCGCACCTATAGCCTACATCCCGGGCCCGTGTATACGGAGCTGCAGAGACACTCCGGGTTGGGGTCTATGGGACACAAAATGGCGAAGAAGTTCTTTCTGACGCCAGAAATGGGCGCTCAGACCACCCTTTACTGTGCACTAGAGGACAGTCTGGATAAGGAAACGGGATGTTATTATGCGTGAGTTTTAACAAATTTATAAATCTAAACTTTTATTTAAATGTTTTATGTTATTATATTTTGTGAATATTTAAAAAATTGTTTGTAAATATCTATCTATGTGTTAGTTTAAATTATTTGAAAACTGCTTATTTTTAATTTTAAATACATTTTAAATGCTTTGTAAACATCTATTGACAGGAATTGTCTCAGAGTTGATAACATGATATCTTCGGCAACCGATGATAAAAGTGGTGAAAGACTGTGGGATTTGAGTTGTGATTTGGTTGATCTCGAGGATCACCTCAGACTACCCGCTATTAAGACCACGGCCTGGCAGGACAACAACAACAACAATAATAATAACTAACTGTCCATAGAATATTAATGATCATGTTCATTAATGGGTTCTTTATAGTACATGTGCTAACTTATTTACATCAGTTTTTAATTCTTATTATACTGTATATTATACAGTAATTTGGTATTAATAATGTGAACACAAAATTTGTTAAATTATTTAACATAGCTTAGTATAAATTACTATGAATTCAAAATAATAAATTATACTAGAATTGCTCGTCTAAGCAATTTGTAATTATTAAATATAATGAATACTAACTAAAATGTGTTTAAAACAAAAGTTTCTTTGATAAATAAGTAAAATATACCATAATTTGCTTTTTGAATTACTATTATAAAATGTTATGTATCACTTTAATTTCCATATTAAAAATATTCTCATAATTATGCAATAAACCATAATAAATAAATGTTTAATAAATAAAATTAAAATATATTTTATGATTATTGCTTGTGTTATGTATAATACCAATATTTTTTATATAGTCTTTGTTAAGCTTAAAGTTGCACTTAATTAAACTTTCTAAGTTTTTTTATTATTGACTAATTGATTAATGTTATAAATACTCTGACTAATTTTCTATTGTAAAATTATAATGAGCAATTTTAAAATAATTGTACAAAGTTAATTAAAGTTATTACGGAGAATACAATAAATATATTATTTTGTGAAATACATCATAAATAAAATATAAGAAAAAAAATATTATTAAGTATTATAAACGACTTTAGTATTAATATAATATAGTATATTAAATATACTGTATTAATAATTATTTTTTGCGTTATATTGAGTATTTAAAAATAATATATTAAAGTTAATCGCACTCATTATATGAAATCAATAAAGTATTTTTATGAAAATAACAATAAATTCAGTGAACAATGAAATAAAATAGACTAAAGCTATCATTAGAGCTACTCGTACCGACAAGGTACTAATATTTATGTTTTATTTATAACTACAGTTAATATTTCTAGACTATGAAACCGAGGATTATTATTATACCATCTAATAGACTATTGGGATAATTATAAATAACATTAAAAATAATGTTGATTATTTTCCCATTTTTGTTAACAAACACTGAATTGAAAATAAGATTTCGGGTTTTAATGCCAATCAATATACCGTATTATACCGTATCATGAGTCATGATTGTCTCATAAGATTTTATGAATTCCATGCGCACCTACCTACCGTAATAGTACTCCTGGACTTGCATAACCTTCAAACACTGGCTTTATTACTGTTTTGAGTATAAATATTCCTGTTTTTCATTCACTTTCATACAATTCATTCGCAACTTTTATTTGGCATTTAGTTATCATTTGATTGTATATTAAACATAATTACAAATCATTTTGAAATTACAAACTATATTTTGTGTACAAATAATTTCTACATAAAAGTGATATCCAGTTAGTATTAATAG